AGAGAGAGAGAGAGAGAGAGAGAGAGAGAGAGAGAGAGAGAGAGAGAGAGAGAATGGGGGGGGTGTTAACGGGGCACGTGGTGCGGTCGGTGGCTTTTCCTGTACTCACAAAGTGGGATCGTTTTCAGCCCGAACCCATTCACGCCAGAAGCGAAAAACGGAAAAAAAAAACAAAACAAAACGGGAGGGCCTGCTACCGGTACCTGCTCCCAGGCCAGGCCGTGGGATAAAGGGAGGTACCACTAGCCCAGGCCACCTCCCGTTTTTGTCAATTATCAACTGGTAGGCTGTGGAAAGCATAGTTTAGTGTTTTTCAAACTTTTTCTTGCTGTTTCAAACTGTTCACGGCCCAGTCTTGCACTGGACTGTTATTTCTGCGAGTTCTGAACTGTGCAGCGGTCACAGGCACAGTTGTCTCTCTTGCTCTTTTTTTTTTTTTTTTTATGGACCATATCTCGATTTATGCGTGTCATCCTTGAATGCGCAGGGAGGGGCCATGCTAATCTTCGTTCTCTGTATCGTTCCAATTCGTTCCAATTTTAACGGATGTCCCGAGGGGCCCTCCAGCCTGTTCTTGAGAAGGCTTTACTTCATTTTTTTGGGTGTGCACTATATATGCTTGCATGCAGAGCATACCCGGAACCTCAGCGTGCGCCGCATTCTCCCTTAGGCTCGTAGCTGCCCGATAGGCTCGTAGCTGCCCGATAGTACGCAAGCTGAGCAGGAAGGGGGCTGCACGCCTGACTCACCTCAGATAAGGCGAACTCTCTGTTGCCCCTCCGAGATGCTGGCAACAAGAGTCGGGTCACATGGCGCCATGTCTTAGGATGCTAATGATTTTTGAGTCATACTCTGTTTTCCAAGTTTTCTCAGTTGAAGATTTCTCAGTTGTCAGACACCCTTCCCTCTAATGCCAATCAGAACAAATGGTGAAAAGTTGCTAAAAACATCAGGGTGACCTCGCATTGTGCTTTTTGAACGTCCCAGCCAAAGCCGGGTAATGACCCCGGAATCTCAACTGCATGTTCAAAAGAGTATGGAAGCTGTATGATGGGACACTGAACCGGGTTTCCAGCAGGTGACGCTCCCTACCACTGGCAATGGACAGGAGCCAGCAGTAAAGGGTTTACTAATGGGGGATGCTCTTATCACCACCCCCAGTAGTAATCTGAACCCCTTCTCAGAAAGAAGAAAATGAAAAATGAAAAAGTAGATCAAACACATTGTCGGATTTCAAACTCACAGACATGGTTTTCTCCGCTTTTCATTTGTTTCTTGGTGCAGATGGTGAGACCGGCCTTTCCGGTTGGCATTCCACCTGAGCTGGAAAGCCTGCTGACAAGATGCTGGGCCCATGACCCCCGCGATCGGCCAGATTTCTCCGACATTGTACAAATTCTCAAGGAGTTCCAGACGAGTCTTGGAGATGAATTTTCAAAGCAGCAGGGTTGCAGTTGTTGCGTCTCTTAGTTTCAGTCGCCAATGTGCATGAGATGGGAAATGAACTCCACTACTCTCAGTTTTATTTTGTTAAAGAAGAGCCCCTAGCCTCTAGCATAATTTCGTCCACTAGGCAACAACGCCATCACCAAGGCCAACTTGAAGCCTGTCTAGTAGCTGACACATTAGGGTAACCGAGGGAGTAGAAGCCCACATCACTAGATCTGCAGAGAGAAATTATGCCTCTTCTCAGTTTTGCAGGAGTCTTCGAACTCGAGCAGTGGAGTTCAAACCTGGTCTAGAATAGATACCATCATAGGAATTTCAAATTGGGGGCTTAAACCACCAGTACTTCCTAAAGCCGTGCCCGTTAACAAGCCAGGATTTTAGGACATGCACGGGCCGCTACAGGAGCGCGGCAAGCTCCCAAATTCATCCGACTAGAAATGTTTGCACTCTATTCTTTTCTACGGCCTATAGCTGGGTCATTTACTGGTGGTTTAAACTCACATATTATGCCCCATTTCAGTTTTGCGAGGGAGTCCAACCTCAAGTACGTAGCAGGCAGTCGATCTGTCAGGGAGCATAATCTGTGCATGAATTTGGAGGTGAGTTTGCAGAGTTAGGGGGTGAGTAGGGATGAGTTTGGGGGCGGGTTAACTATGGTTACAACCAGCTATAACCAGTCCAGATACCCACTCTGGAAAGACCGGCTAAATGGAGGACTTTTGTCCAGCGACTTGCGGAAAGCGCTACCCTAGCGCCACACCGGGCCAGCAGCTGGGTCCCTTCACATTCCATGGTGGTAGGCTTCCTGCTGTTAGCTGATTGCAGGCTAGTAGGCGGCATGTTGCCCAGTTGGCACGTAGCAACAGGAGGCGGCGAATCAGGAGATCTACTCAAAGCATTTTCAAGCCAGTAGGATGGTGGTTGACGACTGACGGGTATCACCTTACAAGAAGGTAAGTGAGGTGCGGCAAATGTTGCTTCCTCCATAGGCTGCGGTCATCGCTGAGTGGAGGGGGCTTCTCAGGGTTTGGTGATGGACATCTTATGGCTGGGTGGTTATGATGACACTGACACCAACGATAATGATGGGGAGTGGGATTAGGAAGTGGGGGAGGGTTTTCCAACAAAGTGATTGGGAGTGGGATTAGGAAGAGGGGAAGGGTTTTCCTTAGTATTTTATTTTTTTAACGAAATTGAGACCTCGTAAAGTGGCCCGATTGAGGTGGAAATTTTAAGCTCTTTAGGGTTCAGCGTCCTTAAAACGCCAGACCCCCTGGGTGTATCTGGCCTTCGCTGGAGTCCAGGGGGTACGGCGTTCTGAAAACACCGTACCTCCTGGATGTATTTGGACTTAGCTGGCATCCAGAACGCTGTACCCTCAGGAGCTTAAAATATCGACCTAAATCGGGCCAATTTATGAGGTATCAATTTCGCTCAAAAAATAAAATATGACTGATTTGACGAAATTGCTGTTAGAAAAAGGTTTTGCATAGGAACTTGAGTGTCTTAAGGAAGAGTGAGGCAAGAGACTCTTGAGGGTAGGACCGGGGGGGTGGGGGTGCGCCAGGGAAAAAAAGATGAGAGGACGGATGGGTGGGGTCTTCAGAAGGGGTTCATATGGACAACAGAGTGGCTGAGTACCGTGGGTGACTGCCATCCGTCTAGTATCCCACCTCTACAACAACCTGGGCTTAAAAAAAAAAAAAAAAAAAAAAAAAACTATTATTTTATTTTATTTTTTATTTGAAATTTGGTAAAGAATTTCGATGTGACCCTGGAGCGGAGGTCGGGCAACAAGAGCAGCGCTAGCGCTAGCACCCCGAAGCCGGCGGACCGGCAGGGCCCGGTCGCCCCGTCGCGACTAAGCGCCCGGGGAGAACAGCTCCCCGACAGCTGGGCCTGCGCACGTGCCCGGTAGGTGCGCGTGGCTTGTTGCCACGTGGCCCCTGCTGTAGGGGGACGTGGACGTCCCGTTGACACATGAGCAGGGGTAGTGCCAGCCTTGGGATTACAAGGGGTTCAGAAGAACCGTGTGAGTGGCGCTGTTAATTGGGTGAGCGATGGACTCGGTGGGGGAGCTACAACATCAAGCGGAGGAATGGATTATCACACTGGAGGAGGGATGCAAGCAGCTGCAGATGATAGTGGGGGTGCTCATGCAGCGATCGCAGGAAGGGGTGGAGATCGATGGGGGGGCGATCTCGATGGATGAGTGGTTGGAAGGTAGGATCCAGGAGATGTTAGACATTATGTGGGAGCTGGAGGAGGGGCCGGATCCCCGCCTTAAGGGCTACATCGACTGGAGGAGGGCGGATGACAGGATGGGTGCTTGCAAAACCCTCTTTACAATGGGACGCGATCTATGCAATCAGCTGGAGAATCGGCAGATAATTGGCGAGATCTGAGAGATGGGCGATAACGGCGACAAGGATGATTGGCTGGAGGGAGGTTGGGAGGCCGGCGAAGATAATTGCGGCGACAGCAAAAGTGAGTTCGATAACAACAACAACAACAACAACAACAACAACAACAACAACAATGACGACGACGGCGGCAGCAACGACTACGGAAGAAGCGGGGCAGACAGCGGTGCCAGTGTAGCTATGATCAACATGGACATGATGAGAGACATGCCGCTAGCGGACATGGTGGATAATGGGGTTGACAAGGAAAAGAGGTATGTTATCCCCCCTCCCCTTAATGATCGTGATGGCGGCATTAACAACAACAACAATAAACTCAACAACAACAACAACAACAACAACAACAACAACAACAACAACAACAACAACAATGACAACAACAACAACAAGAACAACAACAACAACAACAACACCAGCGACGACGACGGCTATGGAAGCAGTAGGGTCGAGAGCGGTATCCGTGCATCTCAGAATTTCATTTGCGTGATGGGAATGATGCCGCAAGACGAAGGGAAGGGACTGGAGCTGACAACAACAACAACAACAACAACAACAACAACAACAACAACAACAACAACAACAACAATAACAACAGTGATGACGACGGCGGGGGCAACGGCCAAGGAAGCAGGGGGGTAGAAAGTGGTTTCTGTGCATCTCGGATTTTCATCTGCACGAGGGGAAATGGTTTATTGTTTTCCCCCCCTCCCCAACCTCGATATGGAACTGCTCCTCATCGTTTGGCAGAAGATAGGAGTAGGATAGTAGGTGGTGATTGCTGTTGCCCGGCCCGCAATAGCAATCTCCAATGGGGTGCTGATCACCCCGTGGGTTGGACGTGGGCTGTTTAGGGATTAGCTTGCAGGAGGTTAACCCTTCCCTTGCGCAGGGAAGTAATCAAGGTCCCCTGACAGTCTAACACGATAACGCGATTATGCATACTGGATTCAGGACTAGTCGTCCAGATCAATCATACCTCATCATTGATAGAACTGCGTGTTTAGGCTTGACGGATAAAGATCACACACACCATCTTCTGATTAGGGTTTCGTGATGACATTAGTTTGGAGATTCTGTAGATCAGAAGAATAGGGTTTCCCATCATATGACATATACTGCTCAATGTGCATACCGAGATTGGTGGAGATATCAACACAGTTCTGCATAGGGACGCTGGACCCGGTTTCCAGCACATACACTCACACCATTGTACAGGGATGCTGGACCCGATTTCCAGCAGATACATTTTCATCACTGTGCAGATTCCGTAGATCAGTGGGATAGGATTCCCATCATCTGACATAATATACTGCTCCACCTGCATACATAGATTGTTGGAGATAACAACATAGTTCTGCATAGGGACGCTGGACCCGTTTTCCAGCACATCCACTCACACCATTGTACAGGGACGCTGGACCCGTTTTCCAGCAGATACATTTTAATCATTGTACAGGGACGCTGGACCCGATTTCCAGCAGGTGTAGCTCCCCACCAATAGATGGAGCCTTCGACGTCGGGGCCTACTTACCGGGGATGCTCTTATCACCTCGTTAAGTAGGTTACCCGTATACAAAGTTAGAAAAAAGGAAAAAAAAAAAAGAGGCAAGAGACTCTCCGCTGCCCCCCAGAGTCAGGCAAGTGTGGAGAGGGTGAGGAAAACCAGGCTAGGAAAAGGGGTAGCTCCTCCAGATTAGAACTACCGTCTTCACCCGAATACAACGCCCGGTCATTATAGCTGTATTGGGCACAATTTTCTGCCCAGATACGGCGATAATTACCGGGCGTTCTATTCGGGTGAAGACGGTAGGCGTGAAAAAAAGGTACAGATGACAGCTAGGGGCTGAAAGGTTGTAACTGGGGCAGTGCCCACTCAGACGTTCTCAGATATTCTCAGGCCTCAGGGAACACTCTCAGAAAAACTATGACCCCCTGTTGTATCATGCCTATTGTATCATTTACCATGATGGGACGCTGGGCCCGTTTTCCAGCAGGTACTGCTGTAACTGCTCCTCATCAATAGATGGAGCCCGATCAGTTTTGAAAGGTTTAGTCTCGGGTGGCGGCTTTGTTTTGCAGCAATTTGCAATTTTTCAGAAATTCTTCAACAGCTCAGTAGTTCTTCACAAAATTTCCTGTACTTTTTGGCTGCAGCTGGGTAATGGCCCCCCTATCTCATTTGTGCTGTAAACTTCTAAGGAATGCTGGGCCCGGTTCCTGGCAGGTGCCACTCCCCACCCATTTGTGCTGTAAACTTCTCATAAGGAATGCTGGGCCCGGTTCCTGGCAGGTGCCACTCCCCACCAATAGACGGAGCCCCCACTTAAATTGAAAAAAAATAAAAAAGGTTTTGCAAGGTTTAGTCTCGGCCCTCGGGTAGTGCCTTTGTTTACTGTAATCTGCAATTTTTCAGAAATTCTTCAGCAGCTCAGTAGTATTTCACAAATTTTCTTGTTCTCCCAGCTGAAGCAAGGTAATGATGCCGGTATCTCATTTGTGCCGTTAACTTCTCATAAGGGACGCTGGACCCAGTTCCCAGCACGTATTGCTCCCCACGAATAGATTGGAGCACTGAAGAAAAAAAACAGGTTGCAGCCTCCTATGGAAATGTAGATAATTTTGAGCCGAACTGAAAACAGACTGTGAACAAAGATTACACCAAATAAGTAATATGAGAAAATCATTGAAGTAACATGATAATGAAGGTCCCCATCTTGCACCCATTGGCAATCACCATTGAATGTGAACAATGTAGCTCTCCTACACTTGCACTCCGTGTCCAGACTACTGACAGACAGCCGCTATGGACCTAGACTCCTATCTACAACAGGTTCGCATTGAAGATCATCCGCCCGATGAACGCATGAAGATTCCAAGTGAACATCCCGCTTCTTCTTCACCAGGTGAGTGTCACGGTCACACCACTTTTCCCCTGTCTTCCCCTCACAGGCCCCTCTCTCCCAAGGATCCCCACTCTCCTCCACCGGCTAGAAGCCCCATCAGTCCGGATATGGCCAATGCACGTCGCTTTGCTGCACACCCAGCAGCTTCCTTGCGCCCTGCCAGCACCCTCTTCCACTAGTTGGGCCCTAAGATTCTCCCCTCCTAGTAGGTCCTCTGCTGGCCGTGCTATAAATTCCTATAACTTGTTTATAGTCTAGGTTACCAGGGCAGACGTCCGGGACCCCCCCCCCAGTGATTCCGGGTTGTCCGATTGGACAACCGGCCCAAACGTCCACCCGGGACCACCTGTCTGCCCCCTACGAAAAATAGGGGTGGCCCGGTTCTGCAGCTTTTGGGGTCGTGGGGGTGGGATCGAGGACAGTGGGAAGCAGAGGAGGCCCAAGAAATTTCTTTCTTGTTGCCAGTAGGTCTTAAGAACTTAAAACAAAAGACTGGATCTGAGCCGTCAGATCTTAAAGATCAACGGACCAAATTGGGCCTTTCTCAAATTTGAATTCTCATGGGAGCTTGCCCGCTGCCCCGCCCGCGACTTTGGCACGGATGTTGGAGTTGGACGTTTCCACACTCCAATGCCAGCGGCCGCAACCTGATGCTGCCATGGCCAGCAGTGCCAGGTAGGTGGTTGTCTCCCTCCTCCATTGCCGCCTCCACCTTCATCGCTGCCTCGGCCTCCATTGCCGCTGACGCCTCCAATGACACTGCCGCTGGTGTCAACTTTCTCCGGGATTTTGTGGGCATACTGCAGCGTGCCTCTAACTGCCGTGGCCTACAGCAGGGGGTTATCAGGCTATTTTGCCTGTTCAGCCTGTGGGACCAGGCCGTGGCCTGACCCCACGCCTGCCGTGTGCTCATTCAGTCCAGTCCAATCCTGCCAGTACTTCTGTCGGTACCAGGCCAGTCCAGTCCAGTCCAGTCAGTCTGCTGGGGGTATACCCCAGCTGCAGTCTGTTCCAGCCGCATTCTTCATTTGCACACTTTGGAGTACGTGCGTTTTGAGTCTGCATTCGAGCTGCGCTGTCCCTTCCAGCTCCATCTCTATCTCCCCCATCCTCATCCCTTCGTCTTGATCCTGGCGGACCACCATCCCGGCGGTTCTGTCACACTGGCATCAGAGCAGGAACAGTCCTCGCTCCCACCCACCCATCCCGCAAGTGGGGAAAATGTTGTAATTCCGATAGCGGGATTTTGGCCTGTTTTCGGCCGTTTTCGGAGCAAACAGACAGGAAAACAGTGCAGCGTGGAGAGAGTGACACGTGACGAAAAACGAGAGCACCGTCATGACACGTGCATGCGCACAAGTGCCGAGACCAAAGCGGCTGCATGCGCATACTGATGCTGCCAGGGTTTGAACCAGGGCAACTGCCAGCCATGCACGTGTGTAGCCAATGCCTTAACACACTGGCCAAACTAACGTACGTGTTGAAGGTTGCCACACCAACTATTTACCCCCCCGGTCGGCGAGCGGTGAGCAGTGGGCAACAGGACAGCAGCAGGCTGGCTGCTATTTGCACCCCCACCAGCGTAGTGGGTGCTGCTGCCTGCGCACGTGGCCATTTGTAGTGCCACGTGGGACTGCACTACTGTGAGATCTAGGAGGCTGATCAAAATTTCAGCACACCCAGATGATGATGATGATTATCATTATTTTTTCTACAGCTGCAGTGGCAGTTTGGCAGCAATGAAGAGCCCCCTGGCTAGGGGCTGCGCGATAGTGCAATCATGGTGGCTGATCAAGATCTCAGCCACTCCAAATTATTTCCATTATTATTTTTCCTGCTGCAGCAGCAGGATGCCAACAGTTGATGTAGCTCAGTGGTTAGAGCACCGGTTGGAATTGCGCACGGCTGTACATACACTATCCTCTGACCACTACCACTACATGGTTATGATTACAGCCCCTGCCTGTATCGGTCAGGGGATCAAGTCCCGGGTGTCGTATGCTGGTTCTGGGTTCCGCAGGGCTTGCTCGGGGTGTTGGGCTTGGTCGTTTGATTCTCCTCCCCGGTCTGATATGCCACACACACGTGCTTATTGCTCATACGGTTGAGTCTTCCTGTTACATTTCACAGGTCACGGGTTCGAGCTTGGTCACAGACTTTGGGGGGGTCTGTCCAGTCTGGACCGTTATACATGGTACTCTCAACAAACATATAGTGATGACATATGGTCTTCGGCCCCATATGTGATCCATACTGCCTTCGGGTATACAACTGGCTTCTGGATACATACACATACATCATGAATAGCCTACATCCATGGCTTCCCGAGCACATACATATGGCCTAAGGGC